TAAAAATATCTTTAGTCCCGGTTTAAAAGTTACAGGATACTTTTCAATCTTTAGTACCGGTTGGTGTTACCAACCGAGACTAAAGATCTATTTGTAGTCCCGGTTGATAACATCAACCGGGAAAAAAGATCGCCATACGTTTTACTCCCGGTTGGTGTTACCAACCGGGACTAAAGATCTATTTATAGTCCCGGTTGGTAAAACCAACCGGGAGTAAAAATCGTGTGTGCACGATCGGACCTCCTCTCCTTTAACTCCTCTCTCCTCCTTAACCTTATCTCCTCCTCTCATTTTTAACTCATCTCTTCAACCTTATCTCCTCTTCTCATTCTTATCTCTATTCCTCTCCTCTTCTTCTCCTCTCCTTCTCCTCTCCACTGCCAAGCCGGCGCGAGGGCAGCGGGTCGCGGAGGGCCGGCTGGCCGGCGCGGTGCGCGGTGAGGCGGTGGCTGGCGGGGCGCGGAGGGCCAGCTAGCCGGCACGGCGGCGCGGTGGTGGCCGCACGGCGGTGCGGCGGCAGCTGGCGGCTGGGCGCGGAGGGAGGGTCGGCCGGCCGGCCGGCGCGGCGGTGGTGGGCGGCCGCGCGGCGGCGGGGCGCGGAGGGCCGGCCGGCCGGCGCGGCGGCGGGGCACGGTGGGCCAGCTAGCCGGCACGGCGGCGCGGTGGTGGCCGCACGGCGGTGCGGCGGCAGCTGGCGGCGGGGCACGGAGGGAGGGCCGGCCGGCCGGCCGGCGCGGCGGTGGTGGGCGGCCGCGCGGCGGCGGGGCGCGGAGGGCCGGCCGGCCGGCCGGCGCGGCGGCGGTGCCTCGCCGCGCGTCTTCTCCTTTTTTTTTCTTTTTCTTTTTTTTGCAGAATCTGAGATTGTTGTGGGAATGTATTTGATTGGATCTGAGATTGTTGTGTGATGTATTTGATTTGTGTGTGATGTGAATATGTGATGAATTTTGTAGAAGTTGTGATGTAATTTTTTTTTAAGATTTTGTGATGTATTTGAGTATTTGAGATGATCGATTTGTGGATTTGGAGGCAATTTGAGGATGATTGATTTGGGATTTTGGGGATGGAATGGGGTGAAATCAATATATTTAAAAATAATGAAGAAAATAAAATAATAAAGAGGAACCGGAAAGAGCAACCGGATTAGCCTCTTTAGTCCCGGTTGGTAACACCAACCGGGACTAAAAATGGATTTTTACTCCCGGTTTTTTTACCCGGGACTAAAGATAGCGATCTTTAGTCCCGGATTCGTAGTCCCGGTTCGAAAACCGGGACTATAGGGGGGTTACGAACCGGTAGTAATAACCCTTTCTCCACCAGTGTGAAAAGAATAAATAATTATTTAAATTTTTTAAATAAGACGAATGGTCAAATACGTACTAAAAAGTCAACGATGTCAAACATTTTTAAACAGAGGGAGTACAAGCTAGCCGTCATGCCCTTAATTTGGGCTATAGCTAGAATATTTGCTTACATTTATGCGCGTTGTTGCATTTGTAAGTGTAGTGTGTTCTTCGTCCCCACCCTCTCGTTGATTGGAGCAGTTGTTTTTTTTTCTTTTACCGAGTTGTAGCCTTTGTTTTTTCGTTTTTTCTTCTCACCCTTTGGCATAGGCTTATATGGCGGATTGTGTTGTGTAAAAAAAAACCCTTTTCCTTCTAATATATTGACGTGCAATTATTCTGTGCATTCGCGAAAAGCATTGTAACCTTATACTATATCCATGCAACCACAATATAAGATGTAAAACATTTCTATTATCTAAAAAGTTTTGAGTCTTTTTATTTATCTTTCTCCGACTCACTCATTGATTGTGTGTAGGGCTGTCAACGAGCCGAGCTCGAGCGAGCTCGTCTGCCTAGGCTTGAGCTCGGCTACCGAGCTTGAATCTTAAGTAAAACAATATATATTTCAAAGATAATCTTTAAAAAAATAATTAATTTCTAGTTCATCATATTAATAGAAGAGGAAAAAAGAATAAAATAAATATATGATGTCAATATAAGATATACAAATAACATATTTGACCTTCTAATTTATTAAATAACAACAAAAATCATATATTACTAAGCTCGTTGGAAGCTCAAGCTCGGCTCGTCTGGAGCTCGAGCCGAGCTCGAGCAGCTCGCGAGCCTCAAGCTTTTTGACAGCCCTAATTGTGTGTCTGTTGGTAGATATATAATGAAGATGTAAATCATTTTCATTTTTTAGAAAAACCACACCAAGTCTATAATACTTATGAATGGGAAAAGGCAAATATTGTCGAAAGAGAGCTTTGTGCAAGACGTACTCATTTAGGTTGACGTTACTCCAAATCCCAATCTCTCTTGTCCCTGTAACCCAAATTAGCTCCAAAAGTGAAAATCTAGTCCAAAATCAATGCAGTCGCGTCGGGCGAGCCCGACTCTGTTTAGGCTGTGTTTAGTTGAGGGGGAAGTTTGGATTTTGGTTGAAATTGAAGATGATGTGACTGAAAAGTTGTGTGTGTATGACAGGTTGATATGATGGAAAAGGACTGAAGTTTGGATCCAAATTTTGGATCTAAACACAGCCTTAGTTTATAGGCATGCAGACACCGACTCCAGTCTGGTTCTGATCCGGCTGCTCCCCATCCCCAACAGGCCCATTGGCCGTGCGTAGTCTCCACCATACTGCACCGGCGTCCCTTCGTTGGCCGACTTCCGAACTTGCCGTAGTACCCTACCACCAGCTCGCTTTATCCTACCACTCCTCCCCTAAGAGTTGGCCTAGGCCTTCTCCGTCCCTCCACCCGCTAGCTAGCCTTCTTGCCATGTTCAGCCAAAGTAGAACTCGAGGCTGAACGACATTGGTTCGGCAACTTGAGCTTCCCTCGTTGACCAGCAACTGCCTCAACCCGACCTAAAAACTCCTCACGAAGGAGGGGAGAAGCTCCAGAAAGGAATAGGGTGCCGACCAGCAATGAGGAAGACGAACCACCGCCACCAACTCCTTTTCCTCTGCCGCCTCTCTCTTGCGCACTGTCACCAGGCCTTCCTCGTCGAATCCGGCCGCCGCCCGAGGTCTCGAGCTATGCCGGTGCCGGTGCCACCACCACCGTCAGCTCCAACGGAGATGACGTCGATGCCCAGCTGCTAGCCGCCCGACCACCGCGCCACCCTAGCTGCGCCTCCTTGCCATCAGCTGCATGGGTCTCTCGCTGCCTTTGCCCTCGCAGCCTCATCGCCACGCTGACATCCTTGCTGTCGACCGCTCTGACCAGATCTAGTGCGGCAGCGGCAGATCCACATGCAGCGTAACCGGATCCGTCCACGACGATGTTGGATCCGCCGCGCCCACCCTGCATCGTCTTCGATGCCCTCCTCGCACAGAGGCGTGGCGCCCTGGGGGGATTGGCCTCGCCACCGCCCTCCTAGCTGGCTGCTCAGTTCTCCGGCGATGCGCTCCGATGACGATGAGGGGAGGGAGTGAAAGGGAGGAGGGCGCGGTGGCGGGAGGTAAGGTTCGCCTCCCGTTCATATCTCAACGTATATACGTTCATCGGCCGATCGAGTATATACATACGTAGTCGGAATCGATATCATCGTCGATTCACAGTCCTACACTAACTATCAAAGACTGAGACCCAGGAAATATCGATCGGCTCACCTCTACATAATTAAACTGCGATTAAAGTATACAAGTCCCAGAATAATAGACACACCAAGCTAACTACTAGATACTCCTAGATTACTAGTAGAAATTAATTTAGAATTGATTCTCACCGGCGACGTACGGGCACTGCAGCTAGCTAGCTGGTTCCATGACGACGACGACGTCTGAGGCGAGAAACGACGACGGCGCCGCCGTCGGTTGCTGCCCCACCGCCACGGCGACCCTCGCGAGTTCTTCTTCTTCCCCGGCGCAGCTGCTAGTACTACCAGCAGAGATCCGTTGGTGGTGGCAGCTGGCGTGCTCCGTCGCCTCGGCGACGTCGGCGGCTCACCTGGACCGGATCTTTCACGCCTACTTCGGCGGCGCTCGCCGTCGTCGGCGAACGTATATATACACGTCGACGGAGCCAGAGATCGAGATATAGCTAGGGTTATATATATCGTCGTTGAGTCGATCGATCGATCGCCCCTCCGGCAGCTACAAGCCGTCATGCCCTTTGCCCTATAGCTAGAAGAAGAGAGATGTTACATTTTATGCAAGTTGTTGTACAACCACAATATGTAAGATAAGATGTAAAACATTTCTATTATTTAAAAAAACTTTGAGTAGTATTTTTATTTTTTTTATTTTTTGACTCATTAATTTTGTGTCTATTGGTAGATATATACCAAAGATATAAACCATTTTCATTGTTAGAAAACACATCAAGTCTTTAATATTTATTGAATATATATAGGTCAGAAAAGCCAAACTACATGCTCCTTGCAGGCCTTGTAGTTCCCGGCCCATCCCAGGGCCTCAATCTTTCTATTAGGCCTAATATGTACTAGTACTTCGCAACTTACACCTTACACAGACCTCTAGTTATCGTTAGGAATAAGTTCACTGGCCGTCCTTTTACCCGAGTCTGTTGAGGTCCTATAACCGTAATATCATAAATGTATACCACTAAACTATATATAACCGTTCAAAAAAGTCCCGATACAGTATAGATGCCTGGTTTCGCTGATGTAGCATCCTAGTCAGCAAAATAATTAAAATCAATATACGAGCCCCACATATACATGAGAGAAAATGGTATGGGCCCATATTTCTCCTTTCTTTTCTTTTTCTCTTCTCTTCTCTCCTGATTCTCTCGATCTGGTGTAGCGGCAGAGGGGAAGAGAGGTGGCCGGTGGCGGAGCGGGGACGGCGGTGGTGGGAGAGGGAGAGAGGTGGCGGCCGGCGCGACTAATCTAGACTCTAGACTCGTGTATGATAAAGAATAAAATTTTGCTAAGAAAAAGAGGCCAAAATGAAATTTTATTAACAGTGAAGGGGCTAATTGCATAAGTGTCCATAATAAACCCTTAATCTCTCTCCAAAACCCTCTCTCCCGCTAGCCAAAAAAAAAAAAAGAAAAAGAAAATTCCTCTCCGATGGCCGGCGTTCCCCCGCCGCCGCGGCAGCTCGACGTGCGGCGCTTCGCGGCGGCTCGAGCCGGCGAGCTCCGTTCCCTCCACGAATCCGTATCCGCCCGCCTCGCCGGCCGCTTGACGCAGCCCCGCTCCGCGCGCCGCCGCACCACGGGCCACCTCCCCTCCAACAAGCGCCGCCGCCGCCGAAGCCGGGATGCCGAGGCGGCCGACGGTACGGAGGAGGAGGAGGGAAGGCCCTCGAGGAGGGTGAGGCGGCGGCGGGAGCTCGCGGGCAACACCGCGGAGGGGTTCTCCGCCGCCGGCGACGGCGCGCGGCGGCTGCGCACGCACCTGTGGCACGCCAAGAGGTTCTCCATGGAGAGGCGGTGGGGATTCGTCTTGCCCATCGGTGCCCATGGGAGGTACGCCTCGAATCCTCAGTTTATGATTACAAGATCCTTGATAGTAGATGATAATCTGACCTGACTTTCATACGGAGAGGGGAAATAGTACAGCGTTACTGAATTTTCTGTGTTAAATTAACTTTACTGAATTTCTGTGTTAGATTGTATTTGATCTGAGTGTACTACAAGCTTGAAATGAGCTCACTGGGTTGTAATCATTGCATTGGCGGGGCTCATTTATACTAGAAGAAATTCCCATCATTCCACTTGCTTTCCATTTTGTAATTTTTTTGGTGAGTTTGTATTCCACTAGCTCATCTCTAGTGAGAAAGGATTAAAGGCAAGAGTTATATGCTCGTTCTGGTTGTTCATAGTCCAACATGGGCACCACTGTTTAGGCAGTTCTAGAATTCTAGCAGAGCAAGTTAAACCGATTTGAAGGGCAATCAAATTATGAAAGCATTAAGCTAGTGTTCTTCATACCAACATTCGTCTTGTAAGTGCAATAAATTCTTAATCAGTTTCATCACCTTGAGGAGAGTGCAATAAATTCTTGTACAAAATGTAGAGGTTGATGTCTTACATGTAGTTTATCTTACGCTATCTTCATGACCTTCATGCTAAGGTTTATCATATATGTAAATTCAAATGAGTAATGCAGTTCACATTCTATCATGCAGAGGAAGGGGTTCAAGAACTGTTCTGAAGTGGCTCAAAAATGGAACAGTTGTTCATGATGCTAGCTACTTCACTCCAGTTGAGCTAGATGGTCCAGAGGTACAAGTTTCTCTATGTTCCTTTTTAGCCTTGCTTATCTCCTATTTCTTTTATACTTAAAGAAACTAATTATGTTGCTGGCTAACTGACGTAGGACTCCCTGTTATCGATTGTCAGAATGGTTCTGCATCCATCTCCTCAAGATAAAACTCCTGGCTTGAAGCATCTGCATGGTCAAGTTATGCGAGGTGTTTGCTATGAGAATGCTATGGTAGTTATACATTTACCACAGACAGCATAGGTAGAGGATTGTTTGGAATGAAAAATGTGACTTAATTGTATTTTCCAGCTTTGCCGTGTTGGGTGTCCTCACCTCGAAATTGTTGGGCCGGTGACATACATGTGGCGTCCATTTTTAAGGGAGGGTGGTGAATTGGAGACTGAAGATGTAGATTTGTCCAATTCTCAAATTATATCTGATGAAAGAAATTCTTTACGGCGCCAATTATGGATATGGATCCACCCTTCTGCTCTCAGTGAAGGGCTTGAAACATTAAGAGCCGCTTGTCATCAACAGGTTAGTCCTCTTTGTATTTTTTTTCTGCTACATGTAGCTTCCAGCTTTTGAGCTTTGAGATAAACATTTGTTTAGAAATATTGCTTCATTTGTTCGTCTATGTGCAGTAATGTCATTCTTACATTGCAGATGCAAGAATCTGGTGACACAATCAGTTGTTGCTCACTGGAGGGGAAAATGGCAAGATTAGAAGTCATGGGAAGCAATGCTATGCAATCTCTTAAGAGTATATTGAAGCCAGTTAGCAAGTAAGTTCATCTTTCCCTGAGAAAATTATAGTGGTCACTCCTGGCTGGAGAAAAAGATGATGTCGAGCTGTGCTAATTTATATTTTTTCAATGAATGCAGTCCAAGTATATCCACCAAGCTAGTTAATAAAAATAATGTGACTACATCAACTGATCCTCTGTATTGCTCTACTGGCTCTCATCTTTTGAAAAGATCTGTTTTTGATAATGCTGACATTCTTCAGTCTGGTGCTATACTATCCATGATAGTCCATGACCCCAGAGATAATTCAGTCGAGGGAACAGATTCTTCTAAAACAGTTTCCCTGGACCAGAATAACCAACTCATGGAGGAATACCAAGTTCCAAATGCTGATGAGACACCATCAGGGATTGGGAATATTTTGTCATCGATATGGCTGAACCCAGGAAATCACGATTTGGCCCTTTCAGACTGTAGAGAATTGTGGGATTCCAGCCTTAAGATAAATCCTCCTGTGGATGAGAAAATTCTTTGTATGGAGAAACACCACAGACGTATGAAGTTTTTCTGCCTTGATTCTGGAAATGATCAAGGACAAACAAGTCAAGAGAAGGATTCCATTGGTCGATCCTGTCCTGTTATTCTTCTGAAACATGCAAAAGGCAGTCTGATCTCTGTAGGGTAAGGCCCATTTTCTCAATCATGTTACATTTGCTGTCCTGCTCTTTTATGTTAGCTCTTATATGGTCCCATAATAGAAGTGCAACCATCATAAGTCTTAACATGAGAACTAGACCTACCTCAGTGTATCATGCTCATATTGGTTTAAGTTATTTTAGCTTTGGCTTCTTATAAAAAGTTTATTCAATATCTGTTATCACTAATTTTGCTTGATTATTTGTTGAACATTGGCTAACAATGATCTGTTTTCTTTCTGGTGCATTTGTGAATAATTTTTTACTGGCAATGATTTGTTTGAGAGGATTGTGCGATAATATTCCTAAAAGCTAGGATTCTCTACATGCTATTGTTATGTCATCATCCTGATGTGCAGCTATCTTGTTTCATTTTTGTTGACTTCACAGGTGGTCTGTTATTCTACCTTTGAGTTGGGTAAAACCTTTCTGGTTTTATCTTGTATCTCATGGTGCACATGCTATTGGCTTAAGAGAGAGACGGTGGATAGCCTCAAAGGTATTGTTATTGATAAAAAGATAGAATGCGCCAGAAAACAAGCTAATGATGTAATCTTAGATCCTTGCAAATTTATTATGTTATTACTATTGGTGATTGGCCTCCTGGTGCAGTAGTATGTTTAACATTGCCATCTGTATTCATTCAATAGTATGAAATAGTTGATATAGTTAAAGTAACAGTAAGATTACAGCCTTGGGGAAGCTGAGGATTGTGCAGCTTTGATTTATGTTTTATTGTTAATTGTGAGAAGTTTGTTCTATAGCAATACACTGATCCCTCTATTTGCAGCTCAAGATGCCATGCTTCCCTTATGATTATCCAGACAGCAAAGCCTATTCATTATTTATGGCTGAAGAGGCTGCTGTTCTCGATAAAGCTACCAACTGCCGCCCTTCTTCCATGAGACCTCCAAGGGTTCCTGTACCACCTTTATGGCATTGTGTCATTGCTAGTTTTCGTAAAGGAGATGGCATACTGAGCAATCTTGAAGATGACTTAAAGAGCGTCGCTACAGTATTATCTGAAAGTATCCCAGTAAATTCCAACTCTGGTGATGCAGAATCATCACCAACAAGTGCTCCTACATCCTTCCAACTACTTGTGCCAAGAACCATCCAAGTGTTGAGACAGTATGTGAAAAAAATTGATGAGAAGTATTTGAATTCATCTGACATGGAAGCAGTTACTGGCAAGTCCAGTCTAGTTTCTGGTGATAATGTGAAAACGGGATGCTCTATAAACAGATTATGTCTTGTAAGGGTGCTGATTAGAGCATTTAAGGAAGGTTCTTTTGAAGAGGGTGCTGTTGTTTGTGCCCCACTCCCATCAGATCTTTCAGCCTGGAACCGGAAGACCAGGTCAGTACTCACAATTTATTTCTTCAGCACCTCATGATGAGGGTATATTATTCATGTAGCTGTAAATTTTTTAGTTCACATGCAACTGAAGTGATACTTTACAACATTGGATCAATGTTGCTGTCCGATTGATTGTCATCTGATTTCTTAAGTTGATTCTGGCTTGAATCATTTTAGTTTTGTATCCCACTGCATTCTTCTGTATGAGATGAGTGCTGGGAAATATCAATTCAAGAAGCTCATCCCTGTTCACACATCTAACAGATCAGAAGAGGAGGAAGAAGAATGTCTAGAAAAATGGGAACTCCAGCTCCCTCAATCCCATGTAAGTTCTTATTTCTCTTGGCTGGATCCTAGCACCAGCAATCTCCAGCTGCCAAACGGCGATTCTACACGAAAGGCATTCAGATGGCCGATAGGCTTCGTCACGACGGGTTTTGTCCATGGAAGGTAATCTTGCCTCACCCAGTCTCCCTCACTATATGCCAACGATGCAATACTGAGTAATAAACCTTAACTGAACAATCCGCTTTACATATTACAGTAGTGGGCAAGATGCTGTTGCAGTTGCCTTCTGCGAAGCAAAGCTTCTCGCGGTGTTGAGGCGGCAGCAATGGAGGACACATGAAAGTCTGAAGCGCAAAGACATCTGTGTCCTTGTAAGGAATGCAAGATCAGCGGCATACCGACGAGCACTCGCAACAATTGTCCTGGAGCAGCAAGAGGATGACCTTAAGTTTCTCTAGTCTGTAAACCTTAAGCTGCTTATTTATCAATGTTGTAATTTTTTGTTCAGAATCTTTTACAGCTGTCTGATTCATGTTCGAGGAGTGAGAAGCAACAGGGTGGCAAACTTCCAACTCCCCAGTAAAATGTGAATCCTTTTTTATCCCTTCATAAATCAGTTGTCACATGGAGTCTGGGCCCACATGTCTGGTTGTGTCCTCTCCTTTCTTCACGGCAAATGCATGAAGGGGTGTTGGTTGCAACTTGCAAGTCACCGGCCAGCATTGCCCCCTATTTTGCCGGGAAAATTGTCCGGGAACAACCTGACCTCTCATTTCCCGCCAAATAAAGCCAGCCCTCTCCTTTCCCCTCCCTATTCAAATACATCTCCTTCACTTGCTTCCTCCCTTGCAGATTTTCAAACACCACCCCCCTACCCCAAACATGTCTTCAAGGATCCCGACGAGGGCGAACCTCACCCTCGCCGCCCTCCTCATCCTCCTCACCGTCGCCGCCACCACCGTGCCCCTCGCATCGGCGAAGTGCACCGTGAAGAACAAACCCGAAGGCAAGGTGGAGAAACCCGGTGGCACGGACGCGGGCTTGGGCTTGGCGGCGGCCCACATTTCACCGGAGAAGAATGCCGGGTTCACCAGCGGCTTAAACCACCGATGAGGTCCTGTCTTCGCTCGTGGCGCCGCCGTCATCAGCCGATCGATAGGACGGCCTCCTAATTAAGCCTTGTATTCCTTCAGAAAACAAAAGCTGTTTTTTCTTTCTGTTTTTGATAAATTAGTTTTTACTAGGAAAAATGACTATGCGTTGTAACGGGTGAAGGTTATTTTAATTTTATTATTGTTATACGGTTTAGTTAAGAGAATTCGCTTGGATATATATTTTTCTAGAAAATCATGAGCTATAATTAAAAGTCTGATCATCTCAAGTTAGTATGCGAATTTTTTAAAGAGATTTCTTATACGACTACTTTTGTATTTCCAAAAATGAACGAACTTAAAACCCGAGTCAAATACGGATCTGTATTTTCAAAAGCGAACGGACTTAAAACCGACTCATACACGGATGACATATCAAAGTACCAGGAAAAACATCTTCAATTTTTATAATAGTAGAGATTTGGATATGCACCGTGCTGCATATCCAAAATTTATTTGTAGATGTGATACACATTTATAAAGAAATAATAAGTAGTAAATAACTCGATGTACTAAAATCAACTTTCATTGCTGCATAAATAATTTTTCTGGACGAGACCTTTTTAGGTTGCAGGTGCGTCATAACTGCTCTCACCTAAAAAAAAATGCTCTCCAAGCACATTAGGACCGCATGCAAAAAAAATCAATTTTCCTAAGCGAGCCTCTTAACAAGTTCGCATGTGAAAATACCACTCTCTCTCCCCCACACTTTTTTAAGCAACATGCAAACAACAAGATGACGTCCTCTCGATAGTTTAGAATAGTTTCCTAGCAAAAGATGGGAAGGATGTCGACGCAGCCGGGGCGGAGGGGAGACGGGCGTCGCCTACAAGTTCACCATCTTCATCCGTAGTTGCGACGCTTGATCTGCGAGAGAATCATATATTTTGATGATACTGTCGGTCTTGGCCGCCTCACTGCGCTTCGTGGAATCAGCAGCCGATGCCCAGTCCCGCGTCTTCCTTAGCCATCACTATGTTTTTTCTAAAGACTAAAGTCATCAAACTTTCTAAAGTCTTAATATAAAAGATACACAATCCTTATGCGCAGTTGAAAAAAAGGTATGCGGATTTCAGTCTAACTCTGAAATGCATTCAATTGTGTGATATTACCTTCCTGCAAGCGACTCTCAACAATAAAGGCAATTGACAGCCTCATCGGCTCATCGCTTCCTACGATAAGTTCGACAGGCTGCTCGTACACTGTCACTAGCAGCGACGCCACTGCCTACGTTGGTTGCCGCTGAAGTCTCAAGTTGGCAGGGATGCCTCTCGCCCACGTATCAGTTGCCTTTGACGTTGGCCATTGTATGCATTGCTTGTTGGATTGCTTTGGATCGGTTTGGCACAAAGTGGGACTACAAATTGAAATGGGATTGGATCATACCTTGATCTCCTGGAGTTCCCATCTCTCTGTCTTTGTTCTTCTTTCTTCTCTTCTAGTTTGGAAGCACAGAGAGAATCGTGTCTTGGTTCTTCCCTGTGTTTCAGTGGGTTGCTTGATCGGGTAGCGAGAGAAATCTCTTAAGGTTTAACACTTAGGTATTGATCTCTATTTATAGCCACTGCACACAGGGGGAACCGACACTAGGGTATGGCGGTTATCCCCCGATCAGGGATGTTCATGAGAGATCGATCACTGTAGCGATCGCCCTAAACAAAATATCTCTTTGCCGACTTTAGGTTTAGCCGCAAGATCATATTTTGCGTTCACACTAACATTGCTAACTTTCGTGGCACCTTTGTGGCATTGTATCATTGCTAACTTTCGTAAAGGAGATGGCATAGTGAGCACTCTTGAAGTAGATGACTTAAAGAGCGTCGCTACAGCATTATCTGAAAGTCTCCCAGTAAATTCCAACTCTGGTGATGCAGAATCATCGCAAATAGATGCTCCTACATCCTTCCAACTACTCGTGCCAAGAACCATCCATATGTTGAGACATCATGTGAAAGAATTTCATGAGAAGTATTTGGGTTCATCTGTCATGGAAGCAGTTACTGATAAGTCCAGTCTAGTTTCTGGTGATAATGTGAAAACAGGATGCTCTGTAAACAGATTATGTCTTGTAAGGGTGCTGATCAGAGCATTTAAGGAAGGTTCTTTTGAAGAGGGTGCTGTTGTTTGTGCCCCACTCCCATCAGATCTTTCAGCCTGGAACCAGAAAACCAGGTCAGTACTCACAATTTATTTCTTCAGCACCTCATGACGAGGGTATATTATTCATTTAGCTGTAAATTTTTTGGTTCACTTGCAAGTGACTTTACAACATTGGATCAATGGTGCTGTCCGATTGATTATCATCTAATTTCTTAAGTTGATTCTGGCTTTTAAGTTTTAAATATATTCATTTGCTAGATTCTGCTATTTGTTCAGATCTTTTTTTTCTGTATCCCACTGTATTCTTCTGTATGAGATGAGTGCTGAGAATATCAATTGACGAAGCTCATCCCTGTTTATGCATCTAACAGATCAGAAGAGGACGAAGAAGAACGCCTAGAAAAATGGGAACTCCAGCTCCCTCAATCCCATGTAACTTCTTATTTCTCTTGGCTGGATCCTAGCACCAGCAATCTTCAGCTGCCAAACGATGATTCTACACGAAAGGCGTTCAGATGGCCGATTGTGGAGATTATGGGTATCCCATATCTACACGGCGATGGTATTCGAACTGGGTACAGGATACCTAACGTAGATAGAATATCTTATTTGTATCGTGGGTTTGTTTCTTAACTTGTGTATCATGGAAACACCCTGAAACTTAGTCGGTTACGACTGTATCTTACCTATATTTTCATATTCCGTAAGGGATATAGGTTATCTTTTGTAACTCGGACTCCTTCCCATATATAAGGGGGGTCTGGGCGCCTATAGGGGCATATGTTGGTTTTTCCCGAATCACACAATCAATAATACACTCGGCGGATTCATCCCCGGACAGGAGTAGGGTATTACTTCTTTTATAAGAAGGCCTGAACCTGTATAAATCCTTTGTCTCCAAACCCATACACTTTCCTAGCTTGATAGCCACCCCCTTTTATTATTGCCGAAATCTAGTTTCGACAGTTGGCGCGCCAGGTAGGGGTAGCGTCAAGCTTTTCGCCGATCAGTGCAATGGGTCCTTCCTCCGGCATCGACGACCTCGTCTTCCCACCCGGGCAGACGTTTCGGTTCGGCAGCCTCGACTTCGTCACCAACAACTTCGGCAAGATTTCTCTCCTTGACTCGGAATCGGACCAGTCGGGAGAGAACCGGATCTCAGTCCCGTTTGGATTCCCAAACGCGGCTGAAACTTACTTCAAGACCATCTCAATCGAGTCGGCTTCAAACCACTCGGCAGAGATCGCATCTTCTCCAACGACACCAGATCAAGATGATGGGGCTTACCCGCCAGTCCTGATGAAGCTCCCCGACGATTTAGCGGCCGTCTTCACCACGACAGCGTCTTCATCCCGTAGGCCTAGGCGGAAGTCGGCTTCAACACCGATTTCGCCTAGCTTCAGGGAAGTCGGCGTCATCCTCCAACCACTCGGCACGGTTTCGACGGATCAGCTAGATGACTACAACAGCTCTCCCACCGTCGACTCACGTCCTACTGACATCGTGGAGTACGATGAGTTCAGCTCTCGCTACCACGACTTCGACGACTTCGACGACTTCGACGACTTCGACGGAAGCCTAGATGACAACTACACTCCTCTCTACTTTGGCGTTTTCATGGCCAATAACGAGACGGAGGAGCAACGCCAAGCCCGGGAAACCGAAGAACGTCGCCGACTGGAGGAGGAGCATCAAGCACAAGAACAAGAACGGCTACGGCGTGAGCAGCAGGACCGTGAGCGGATCGCCAAGGAGGCTGAGGATCGACGTCAGCGAGCTTTGGAAGCAGGGCGCCGAGCGCGTGATCTCATCGGCCAACAAGATGTCGAAGGGACACCGGTTTTCCGCACCCCTCAACAGAATGCGGTTGCCGCGATCACCCTTCTCGACACCCTACTCAACCAAAACGAGCTCAATCGATCCGACCACGTCGTCAACATCTTGAACCAGACGAAGACCATGATTGCGGCCTCGGTCCCAGTTAACTCCGAAAGCGTCCACACGCCGACTGGCAGCCGAGTTCCCCACTTCCGATCTCACGACTACCGTCATCCAAGCCTCAGCATCACCGGCGCGGGATCCAACCGCAGGAGCAGGGGTCACGACGAGCGGTCTGTTCACTCACCTCCCGACCTTCATAGGGAGCGCCGAGTGGAACGACCTCGCTCACCACCTCGTCGCCGCCCCATCGATCTTCGCGACACAATCATACAGCGCCGAGCAGCTCGCGGCTACCATCACTCGCCGGATCGCCGCGACGACGACCTTGACGGAGTTGCAGCCTTCACCGACGACCTGCGTCGAGTGGATTGGCCAGCCGGCTTCAAACCGACTGGAATAGAGAAGTATGACGGCACCACTAACCCCGAATCGTGGCTTACCGTCTACGGTCTCGCAATCCGCGCAGCAGGAGGAGACAACAAGGCCATGGCGAACTATTTACCGGTGGCTTTAGCAGATTCCGCCCGATCTTGGCTCCATGGATTGCCCCGTGGTACGATCGGATCTTGGGCTGAATTACGCGACCACTTCATCGCCAACTTCCAAGGCACCTTCGAGCGTCCTGGCACACAATATGATCTTTACAACGTTATCCAGAAATCCGGAGAATCCCTTCGAGAGTATATCCGACGATTTTCCGAACAACGTAACAAGATCTCCGACATCACCGACGACGTCATCATCGCCGCATTCACCAAAGGGATTCGCCACGAAGAATTGGTCGGCAAATTTGGGCGCAAACCTCCCAGAACAGTCAAGCTCATGTTTGAAAAAGCCAACGAGTACGCCAAAGCCGAAGACGCCGTCACCGCATCGAAGCAGTCGGGTCCCAGTTGGAAGCCGAAAAATACGCCGGCTACGGGAGGAGGTGGAAGTAACAATCATAAGGACCGCAAGCGTAAGCCTGAGGAACTTGTTGCAACCGCCGCTCACTCTTCTCGACAGCGTTCGCGCGTCAACACCTTCGACAAGATCATGAACTCCCAATGCCCGCATCATCCAAACTCCAACCACGTGGCCAAAGAGTGCTTCATCTATAAGCAGTTCGCGGAGCAATACACCAAGT